TGCGTCGTCCGCCACGACGGAGATGACAACCACGGCACGACACACCCCGACGCGACGAATGCGGCCCGGAACCAACCTCGAGTCACGATTTCCGTGCCGGCCGGCGAATCGACTCTACCGTCGCCGATGCCGCTGAAGCCGCAGCGTCCGCCGTGTTTTGACCCGAGTCAACGGGGTGGTCCTACCGTTCAGGCGTGGCTATTCACGTTGAACGTTTTCTTCGACGCGAATCACATCTCGGAGGATACGGCGAAGATTCGCTACGCCGTGTCGTTGCTGCGAGGACCCGCCATGGACTGGTGGCGTGTCATCATGACGAAGCCGGTAGACTACGCGACTCTATCGATACGGGAAGGACAAACCGGACCCTGGGCGCCATCGTATTTCGTGGAGGTGCCCCAGTATCGCACGTGGGACGCGTGGTGCGCAGGTCTGCGCGCTCGTTTCGAGCCAATTGCGGCTTCGATCGCGGCGCGACAGAAGCTCCGCACTTGGCGCCAACTCGGTTCCGTCCAAGACTACACGAGCAGATTTCTGGCGCTATGCGAGCAGGTGGGATACATGCATGAGAGCGAGAGCATCGACCGCTACATCGGCGGCCTGAAGCAGGACATCGCTCAGGAAATCCAGCTTCGCGGCGTCACCGACTTTCAAGAAATTCTCGCTATGGCGGAGAAACTCGACTTCTTTCGCCGACCGAGACCGGGGTCCTACGGAAGCAGCAATTGGGGACATCGGCCTCGTGGGACAAACGAGGCGCTACGATACGTGCCGTCGCCGCAAATGCCGTTGCCGCACCGTTTAAAGGGCGCTGCTTTGCGTGCAATCGGCCGGGACACCGTAAGAGCGAATGCTCGGAAAACGCTAAGGGAAAGGGGGAAGCTGAGCAGCAGAGAAAGACCAAGCAGCAGGGAAACGCTGGGAGTCAGTAGCAGACGGGCCCTCTACTGACAGGTCACGCCGCTCGCCCGACCCAACCGACCCTCATCGAGTGATTGTGCTGGTTCACGCAATCGACCACACCCGGCCGAATAAGGAGGGTACTACGGTAGACAGCCCCATACTGCTTAGTGGGAAAATCGGGACGGACTTAGTTAAAATCTTCGTAGACAGAGGGGCCAGCCACAGCCTTATCAACACTGCCACAGCACGGAAACTGCGACTGCCACTGGACAGATGTTTACCTGAGATCGACACAAGACTGGTCGACGGCACGCCACTGGCGATACGGGAACGTGTGGACCGAGTTCGGATTCGATGCGGGGGTAACTTCACGTTTAGCCAGGAAATGCTCGCAACGACCCTCGACGGAACCGACATTTTACTCGGCCGTGATTGGCTGCGACGACACAACCCGCGAATCGACTGGACGACGGGTGATCGCACCGTGCGAGTGAACGGTAACAACATCGCCTTACCTCGCTAGGGCTCGCCTGAGTCTTCGTCAGTGCGTGCCAACGCGATCACGATGAAACGCGCCGTAGCGGCAGGAGCTGACGTGTACGCGGTTGACATTCGGGAAGCCGAGGCAGAAGACAAAGGAGGGGATTTACAGAAACTGCTAGCCGACGTACCGGGCGATCTGGCAGCATTGTTGAAGCAGTACAGTGACATCTTCCCGGACTACCTACCGACGGGACTGCCACCTCAGCGACCCCACGACCATAGGATAGAACTAGAACCGGGGGCACAGCCAACAGTACAGCGACAGTTCCGACTGACCCAACCCAAACTGGACGAACTGAGGAAGCAGCTGGATTACGTGTTCGAGAAGGAGTTCATTCGCCCTAGTTCGTCGCCCTTCGCAGCACCGATACTGTTCACACCGAAAAAGGACAGGGGTTTTCGCATGTGCATAGATTACAGAGCACTGAACAGGGTTACCATAAAATCCCGTTACCCCATTCCGCGAGCCGACGAACTGCTCGACCAACTGCGCACAGCCCGGGTTTTCTCGAAAATCGACCTTCGGGGAGGCTACCACCAGATTCGCGTCAATCCACCCGACTGCCCTAAGACAGCCTTCCGAGCACGCTACGGATCCTTCGAATACACCGTCATGCCTTTCGGACTGACCAACGCCCCCGCCACCTTTCAAATGACCATGAACGAAGCCTTCCGCCCGCTTTTAGATAAGTGCGTCATCGTGTACCTTGACGACATACTGATTTACAGCCCCGACAGAGCACAGCACTTACACGACATCGAAGCAGTTTTTAAGATACTGAGTGAGAACCGCCTACTGACAAAAGCGTCTAAGTGTGAGTTTTTACAGGACCGACTGGAGTTTTTGGGACACATTATTTCAGCTGCAGGAGAGGAAATAGACCCGAAAAAGATCGCGACGATTCAAGCATGGCACGCGCCGACCAACTTGACCGAGTTGCAGAGTTTTCTGGGGTTCGTCAACTACGTGCGCCGGTTCGTCCCCGGCATGGCGAATCTGACTGCCCTGTTGAACGACCTGCTGAGGAAGGGGGTTGAGTACACGTAGGGGGAGAAAGAGCAAGCTGCCTTCTCGGCCCTAAAAAAAAAATTGTGCTCACCGCCCGTACTTTACATCGCAGATCCGCACCGTCCGTTCGAGCTCGTCACCGACGCTAGCGACATCGCTGTAGGAGCAGTACTGTTGCAGGACTTCGGGAACGGCCTCTAGCCAATCGCGTACGAGTCCCGCAAGCTTCACCCGCCCGAACGCAACTACCCGATACACGACCGCGAGATGCTGGCGATCGTGCACGCGTTCAAAGTGTGGCGATGTTACCTCACGGGAGCAGACGTGACAGTACGCACAGACCACCGATCCCTACATTACCTTCGTGCCCAACCGAATCTCAACCCACGACAGATCCGCTGGTTGGACTATCTGGAGTCCAACTTCCACTACACGGTCACGTACAAAAAAGACGCATCCAACATCGCCGACGTACTCACACGCTCCACCGCCCAACTCCACGCCATCCTACTCGTCCAAACCAACCCACTGCTAACAGGCCTATTCACCCACGGATACAGTACCGACCCATTTTTCACGACCGGAAATTCACAACAACTGGCAGAGGCCAAAGGAGTCTATTACGTAAAGACAGGCACCAACCGCATCTGGGTACCCGCGTACTCACTACTGAGGGAACTGTTACTGCAGGAGGCACACGACGGGATTACCTTGGGACATTTCGGGGTAGAAAAAACGTGACAGCAACTGCAGCGGTATTACTACTGGCCGGAGCTGTTGACCGACGTACAGCACCACGTGGGCTCGTGTCCTACGTGTCAGGTGATGAAGAGCTCGCGAAAAAGAAAGGCGGGTCGGTTGCAGCCGATTCCACCGCCTGAGCGCGCCTGGCAGCAGGTTACCATGGATTTCGTCACGGGGTTACCTTCGAACCCTGGGGGTAACGACGTGGTTATGGTCGTCGTTGACAGGTTGACGAAGATGGCACACTTCGCTCCGTGCAAAAAATCGACCTCAGCCGAAGAAACCGCTCGCCTGTTCATCGCAGTCGTCGTTCAACTGCACGGGATACCAGCCGCGATAATCAGTGACCGCGACACGAAGTTCACCAGCAACTTCTGGAAAAACCTCTGGGAGCAGTTCGGGACAAGGCTACAGTTCAGCTCGTCGTACCACCCCGAGACCGACAGTCGGACGGAGCGGACGAATCAGACGATGGAGCAGTTGATTCGTGCCACGTGCGACGACCCGACCACTTGGGAGCAGCAGCTGCCGCTGATCGAGTTCGCGTATAACAACGCCACGTCAGCAATGACGCAGCAGTCCCCTTTCTACCTGAACTACGGGCAAAACCCTACAGTGCGGATGACGCCGAGTCCGGACAACTCAACACCACGTGCACAGCAATTTGCTGAAATTCTGCAAGCTACCCGCACCAGAGCCGCAGAAGCAATTAAGAAGGCCAATGTCATCGCTAAGCGCAACGCTGACCGCCACCGCCGCCCAGTAGCGTACCAGTCAGGAGACTACGTACTGCTCGACACACAGAACTTAAGACTGCCCGTCGTACCGAAATTACGACCCCGCTACTGTGGACCATTCCAAATCAGCCACATGATTACCCCTGTGACAGCCCACCTACTGTTGCTGACGGACTGGTACGTCAGCCCTTCATTCCACGTCAGCCTGCTTCGCCCATACATCCCAACCACAAGCCAACTGCCTCGTCACCGCCCGCCATCCATGACTCGCCCTGCATCGGAGCCGACCATCGTGCCCGAAAAAATCATGAGCCATCGGATTCGACACCCCACGGGAATCAGGAGGATTGAATTCCTCGTTCGCTGGAAGGATCGCACGCCAACTGAAGATAGCTGGGTGCCCATGGCCAACATCGAAAACCACCCTGCCCTGCAAGTGTACCTGAGGAGCCGGGGTTTCCGCAATATACACGCACTCGCGTAGCGGGGGGGGCTTCTTGAGGGGGGTGGTAGTGTAAGGAATTTTCTCGATATTCCTTAGCGCGCCCTACAACATCGCGTACAGCAGCAGTCGTTGTTCGCCCGTTACTACTAACGGGGCTTCGCCGACTTTGCGCGCACCGTTTCACCAAACCTCGCACTGCTGGCCCGACCGTGTCGGCCTACGCTTCGGGACTAGCCCAAACCTCACTGCCAGCGTAGCACTAGCTAGCTCGCACGCACCGCGTTACCGTTTGCATGTTTCGCGTACAAATGTTCGCTCATGCCTTCGCTCACATGTTGTACTCATTTTGACACCGTAGTGCAAATCTCGCTACTTCGATCCATTGCACCCGTAACACATATGCCCATCCCGCCTTCGCATCGGCCAGCTTCTGCACAGGCTCGCCAGCCTTCTCTTTTCACCCTTGCCTATTTCGGTCGCGTTCGTCACTTCCCGTCCCGACGCGTCTCACTGCGCGCGCCACGCCGCTGCTCAGTCATTGTCCGGTGTCTCGACTCGCCAAAAAAAAAAAAAAAAAAAAAAAAACCCCTCTAAACCTCCATTCTATAGGCCGCGACCAATGGGCGACCAGCAGGTGGTGGGCGATTTTCTCAAAGTCACGCCCAAGCGCTATGCGCCAGCGGCGCCCGCAGAGACGGCGGAAGCGGGATTTTGGCGCAGCTTCCGGCGGAAAGCGGCGGAGCCGCTGATCGGCAACGTGACGACCATCGACTTCTGCCCCTCCGCGCCCTACCACTTCGCCGCTACCAACTCCACCCGCGTGCGCCACTCTCCCCCCACTCTCTCATACCCATCCCCTCTTCACCCCCCCCAAACCCTTTCCCCTCAACCTACCCCACCCCTTTCCCTCAACCCCGCGCACCCGATCCCCGTTATTTCTACTCGCCGTGCCGCTCTCCCTTTCGGCCGCCCTGCGCCCGCGCGTCCCGATATCGAGCCCTCACAGCGGCGCAGACGTGCGCGGAACGCGGATGTGGGGAAGGGGAAGTTGGAGGCAGGGGACAGTTTAGAAGCGTAGATCGCGGCATCTCCTTGTACCTCGAACCGTGCTTAGAAGAAGAACAGCCGGGCGCGTACCAGTGAATCAATATCGGCGTCTCAAGGGGCACTGATGGGGCGGCACCGGGTGCACGGGTGCACTTGTGCACGGGTGGACCGCAGAGGCGGGTCTATCTGTGACTTAGTTGCTGTCGTTCGGTCGCGACGATAAGCGTTGTGCGCCGATGGGGATGTCGAAGGATGGCAAGCGATGGCAAGGGATAGAGCAGCAGGTCGCGTAGGGCTTAAACCCTGTTGGCCTTTCGACCCTTTGGGGAATTAAAAACCCTTGCAGGCACTTGAAACCTTAGGAAGCGCTTAAACCCTGTGGGCCGCTTAAACCCTTTTACTACCTCTCGCTTCACAATCTTGACTTTCATGCAATACTCACCGTGCAACCCAAAACCCCCCTGCGCCCATGGCAGGTGACGGTGTACAGTGGCGTCACCAGGGAACCGCTTAAAACCTTCTCTCGCTTTAAAGGACTTGTAAGGCCTCCCAAACCCTTCCATCGCTCCTTTCGCCCCGCTTGCTCCTCCTCCTCCTCCTCCACCTCCACCATTTTCTCCCATCCGTGTCTGCCTCGTCCGCCTCCTTTCACAACTTCCCATCGCTGACTTTTTTAAATTCCATCCGTGGTAGCGTTTGTCACGTACTCGCACTGCCGCACCTCATCCTCTCCTGCCCGCCCACCTCCCCTCCTCCGTCTTTCTCCTGTCTTCGCCAATCTCCACTCAATTCCCTCCCCTCCCCCCCTCTCTCCTCCATCGCGCCACGCGCTTGCGGGCTGTGCAGGCGTACAGCGGGCGGTTCAGGGCGGATGGCAAGCTGCTGGTGGCGGGCGGGGACAGAGGCATCGTGCAGGTCAGGGGGGCGCTACCCTGGGGGGGCACGGACTGGGCACAGGGGGCGGAGGGAGAAAGTGGGAAGCACAGGAAGGACGCGGCAGAGAGGGGGGGAGGAAGGGCGAGGGAGGGTGAGAGGGGGCATGCGTGGGGGGCGGTCTCTACTGTTTCCTCACCTCTCCAACTCGTGCCCCACAAGCGGTGCCTCTTAGCCCCCTACACTGTTTTCTCCCTGCTGCCCCGTTACTTCAACCACCATTCTGAATGCCCCCCGCTCTCCCATTCCCCCCTCTCCCCCCCTTCTTGTCCCCCATCTCGTGTCCTCTCCCCCTCCCCTCGTTGCCCTTGTGCGTGTGGTCGCGGCAGGTGTTCAACGCCACGACCCGCACAGTGCTGAGACAACTCAACGGCCACACAGAGTACGCATGCACTCTCTCCTGCACGCACGTGCTCACGTGCTTACATGCTCACATCCAGCATCCACCTACCAAATCAGCTATCCACGGACATACCGGCCCGCCCACACTCTCCCTACCCACCCACCTACACACATGTGTGCGCGTGCGCGCACCTATTGTCTAACCTTTCTCTTGCTTTTGACTGTCCGACTCTCCGCTTTGCCTCTCGTTCTCTCCCATTCCCGACCCCTCCCTCCTTGTTCCCTGCGTCCCACCCCCTGTACAAGCATGATCCCGTGCACCAGTCAACTATCCTTCCCTCAACTTCGTGTGCCCAGGCGTCCTCCTGCCCGTCCTCTGTGCCAAGCTGCCCCTTCAACCCCCCACCACGCCACTGCGTCCCTGCACACGCCCTCGTCATTGCTGACTTAACCGCCCTGGCCGCTCATCGTCCTCCCACCTTCCCTTTTCCCCATCCCATTTCCTTCCCCCCTCTCCCCCTCCTCCCCGGGGTGGTGGTGGTGGTGCCATGGTGCAGTGCAGTGAGGGCGGTGCGCTTTGCGTTGGACAAGGTGCATCTCATGTCGGCCGGCGATGACTCCGTTCTGCGCTGGTGGGACGTCAGCGCCCAGGTCCGTCCGTGCGTGTGGCTCTCTCGTCTGATTCTGATTCTGATCCTGCTCCTGGGGGACATCGTGTGCTAGTCTTCCTACGTCTTGCCTCGCTGCTCCACTCATAACGCCTCCCACATTGGCACCGCCCCTCAGCCCATCCCCTCCCCACCTGCCCCTCAATCCCACTCCTCCCTCCTCTTCTCCTCTCGACTCGCATCCTCAACCCAACGTCTACCCCTCCCCGTCCCCTCGCCCTTACTCCCGTTTCCTTGCGCCCCCCTCTGCACCCGTTCCTCTCCTTTCCACAATGTCACCCCACCATGCGTCCCCCCCACCATGGCAGGAGCCACTGCGCAAGATGGCAGCGCACACGGACTATGTGCGCAGCCTGTCCACCAACCCGGCCTCAGCGGACCTGTGGGCGTCAGGGTCGTACGACCACAGTGTGCTCGTGTGGGACGTGCGCGTGCGCGACCCCGTGCTCCGATTCCAAGTGAGCCGCTGTATGCACGCATGCACTCATGCACCCATGCACACATGCACTCATGCACGCGTGCACCCATGCACACATGCACCCATGCACGCACAACTGCAATGCTGTCGCTGTTTCTGGAGTCCTCCTCACCAGCCGTGTATCATCTCTTTCAACGCCTCTACATGGGTTCGTGCCGCTCAAGGTGCAAAAAAACGACGTTTTTTTTCAAATTTTGATCGTAAAATACCGTATCGTAAGAAACGATCGTAAAAAACGATAAAAAACGGTTTTTGAAAATAAATACTTTTGGTGCAAAAAAACCTTCGTTTTTTTCAGTAAAAAGACCAAAACTGCTGCTGAAACAAGGGGATTGACTGGTGAGAAGAACAAGGGGGCCGTTAGAAGTGCTGATGATGCAGCGGAAGATTGTTAGAAGTGCTTTTGTGATCAGAACAGCATCTTTGAAGTTGAAGAGTTTTTTTTGTCTAACAAAAAAACGACGTTTTTTTCCCAAAAGATACCGTAAAAAACCATCGAAAAAAACAATCGTATTTTTCGACAATCGTTTTTTTCTACCTTGGTGCCGCTCACTATTGTTGACGCATCTGCGCCCCTCCCTCACTCTCCACCATGCCCCGTGGATACTGCTTCTGAAGCACCTCTGGAAGGCTCCTTCAACCCCTCCCCTGAACTTCTTTCCCAACGCCCAACCCCTCGTGTCCTTCTGCCAGCATGCGCATCCAGTGGAGGACGTGCTCTTCTATCCCAATGGCACCATGCTCGCTGTCGCAGGTGCGCTGCCATGCCATGTCATGTCATGTCATGTCATATTGTACCACTCCACACCATAGCATACCTTGCCATGCTGTTCACCCAAGTGCCTACCCATAAACGGCGTGCTCTGACACTCATTACACGCGCACCACAATACGCAGTCACAACTTCCACCCGTTCACTCCTGCATCAGTGCTACCATGTTCCTTGCCATCGGATCTCTCCCACACCACCCACTGCACCGCTCCCCGCGCTTCCCAGAAGCCTCACAGCACCTTCAGTCCCCACGCACCCTCATTCTCTCCCCTTCCTCCTTCGCCCACCTGCCCTGCCTATCCTTCCCATCCTCCCCTCCCCCCTCTCCCCTCATCACAGCGGGCCCACAGGTGGCAGTATGGGACATGCTAAAGGGAGGGGCATCAACCACACCGCTCCCTTCCTCGCAACAACAAGACAGCGCAGCGCTGACCCCAGTGGCATCAGTGACATGGCACTCGCGGCCGCTGTACATACTGGGCAACCACCAGAAGGCCGTCACGTGCCTGCACGTCACCCCGCCCATGTCCCTGGGCAACGGTGACCCGCCCTTCCCTGCTCGCCTGCTCACAGGCTCCCTCGATGGCCACGTGCGCATGTTCAGCCTCAGTGACTACAAGGTATGCTGCCAGCCGCCCACCCACCCACCCACCCACCCTCCTACTTCACTCTCTTGCTGCCATCACCGCCACCTGTAGCTGCAACTATCCACAGTCGCTCCTCATTGACCCCCTTGCGTTGCACCCTCTTCCTCCCACCTAGGGATGAGCAATATGACGAACACCTGTTCGGTTCGCCTCGAACGTGTTCGAGGCGAACCGAACAGGATTTTTTTTTGGCCTAAATTGTTCGGGGCGAACGTGTTCGGTGTTCGCCCGAACACGTTCGCCGTTCGCCCGGCTCAGCTGGCCGAGGCGCGTCGAACACGAACGTGTTCGTGTTCGACACGGGCCTTCGACGAACACATTGGTGTTCGTCGACGAATAGGCCCGCGACCAATTTTTAGGTCGCGGGCCTTGGTGTTTGGGCTCAGATCAAGGCATTTCGCCGCTGTTTAAGTGCGGATCAAGGCATTTCGCCGTTGCTTAAGTGCGGATCAAGGCATTTCGCCGTTGCTTAAGTATAGATCTAGCATTTCGCCGTTGCTTAAGTGCGGATCAAGCATTTCGCCGTTGCTTAAGCTCAGATCTAGCATTTCGCCGTTGCTTAAGCGTAGATCTAGCATTTCGCCGTTGCTTAAGTGCAGATCTAGCCTTTCGCCGTCACACGCTGGCACTAGTATGGATGAAGCAGGGCGGGACTGGCTTGGGGCTATGTTGCACCTGACGCCCTGGAAGGGCAGCGTCCAGCGTCCGGACGTTCACGTCCGGACGCTGGACGCGTCAAATCGGTTTGACGCTGGACGTTCGGGGAAAAAAATTTCGGGCAGCCCGAAAAAAAATTCTCCTGCGAAATTGACTCGCGATTTCATCGCGACCAGAATTGACGATGAAATTGCCAACTGGGGGCCGCGTTTTTTACCTAAAAAACGCAACCCTCATTTATTCCCCCCCACACATTTGTACCCATCCACATCTACTTCTCCCAACCTGGTCGACCCCCAACTAAACTAGAGAACCAGATCTAGGTCAGGAGTATTTAACTTGTGTGTGAGATTAGGAGATTTTCAGGATTTTCTGGATTTTATGGAGTATTTATAACTATAGGTGACAAATGTGAACTTCTTGCATTCTAACCCCTGCGTATCCTTACTAGGCAGGTTTTTTTACCCCTGCCCGGAAAACTTTTTTTCCCTGCCCGGACTAGCGTCAAGCGGGCGTCCAGGGCAGAGGGCACCGGGCGTCAAGCGTCTGGACGCCCCGTCCAGACGCCAGCGTCAAAAACGCCTGACGCGTCAGGCGCAACATAGGCTTGGGGGGTGGGGGGAGGGAATGTGAAACATTTGGAATTCACTCTACTTGGATCTAAGAAGGTCCTTTAAGGCGAACGCGAACATGTTCTGGGCGAACGTGTTCGTGTTCGCCAAAACGTTCGAAATGTTCGCCTCTCTTGGCGAACTTCGAACACCCTTTCTGGTGTAAAGTGTTCGGCGAACCGAACAGTGTTCGGTTCGCCGAACGGCCATGTTCGAGCCCAGGCGAACACGAACATGTTCGTGTTCGCCATTTGCTCATCCCTACTCCCACCCACCCACCTCACACACCCAGGTTGCTGACAGACTCCGGTGCATCCATCTGCCTACCTCATTTCATTCAACCCTTCATTGTTTTCCAACCTCACACGAGCTCTACTTCCGTCTTTACACTAAAAGAACCATCCATTCCCTCCTTCCCTCCTCCACCCACCTCCCTCCCTTCTCCCTCCCCTCCCCCAGGTGAAGCACATGGCACGGTACGACGGCCCCATCCTCTCCCTGGGCATGTCAGCACGCGGCACCACGCTAGCGGTGGGCATGGCGGGCGGGCAGATGGCCATCCGCCACCGCACGCCCACCGACAGCGACAGGCGCCACCTGCACCTCGCAGCAGCCGCGGCAGCGGTGCCGCGCGTGCCGGGCATGCAGAAGAGCACCACCAAGAGGGGCAGCAAGGGCCGCATGCATGGGCCGCTGCAGACGGCCAACTTCAGATATCTCGTTCGTGGCCAGACGGAAGAGGCTGCGGTGGGTGCTGTTGCTGCTGCTGCTGTCGTGCTTCTCGTCGATTTTGTTACTCCCGCCACCATTTCCCTGTCTTTTGTGTGTGTGTGTGTGTGTGTGTGTGTGTGCTGCATGCATAACATCTGCTGCCACCGCTATCATTGCCAATCCCCTCTCCCACCCACCATCCCTCCAACCTTCCTCTCCCTCTCCCTGCCCCTCTCCCCCCTTTCTCCCGTCCCGTGTGTGCATGTGCATGGCAGGCGGAGGACTACCTAGTGGCGCAGCGCAAGCGAGTGCATCTGGCGGTGCACGACAACAAGCTGCGGCGCTTCCAGCACTCCGCTGCTCTCCGCGCCGCCATGCAGGATGCATCGCTGGAGAAGCCCGAGGTCAGCCGGCACACATGGGCATGGGCGAGTGGGGACAGGGGAGGGGGACATGGGGGGAGGGGAGCAGGGAGGGGGAGGGGAGGGAGGGTGGTTGAGTGGGTGGCAGGGTGGATATGTCGGTCCGACCATCTGGTCTGCTCGGGAACGTCAAGCACTATCCTTGTCTGTTTTTTTTTTCTTTTTACCTCTTTACCCCTTTCGTGTCCTTCTCCTCTGTCCATTTCCCCCTTCGTTCGTCTCTCTCCCGCTGTTGTTTCCGGCTCTCCTTTGCTTCCTTTCTCTCCTCTCTCTCTCTCTCTCTCTCTCTCTCTCTCTCTCTCTCTCTCTCTCTCTCTCTCTCTCTCTCGCTCTCCCTCTCTCTATTGGGAGTATAGCAACCTCCATTGGGAGTATCTCCATTCAGCATGACTCTCTACTTCTTCCACCCCCTTCCCCTGTCCCACTTCACCCTCTCCCCTTTTCCTTTGCCCCGCCTCTCCCTCCGCCCCCCTGCAATCCCCTCGCCCCCTCCTGAGATGTTGGTGGCGGTGGTGGAGGAGATGATTGCTTCAACCCCCACCCACCCCTTCTTCCCCTCCTCTCCCAGTCCCCCTCCCATTCTGCTTGCAGATGCTGGTAGCGGTGTTGAAGGAGATGATAGCTTAAACCCCCACCCACCCGCCCTCCCTGCACCTCCCCTTCCCCCCCCCCCCCCAGATGCTGGTAGCGGTGTTGGAGGAGATGGTTGCGCGCAACGTGCTGGCCAATGCCATTGCCGTGCTGCCAGTCAAGTCGCTCAGCCGCTTCCTGCAGTTCTGCCGCAAGTAAACCCCCTGCTTGCATCGCCCCTCCCTGCTTGCATCGCCCCTCCCTGCTTGCATCGCCCCTCCCTTGTTACATGCCCTTCAGTGCTGCTCTACTCATTTGTTATGTGCTTTGCAAGTCTACTCTGCCATTCAATCAATTTTGCCTCCATCTCTTCAATATTCCTGCACCCACCATACACCCGCTGCAACAACCCCCGAGCCCCTCCGTCAGTCACAACTCCACACTCTTCCTCTTCCATCCCTCCCCTCGGCACCCTGCCACACACTCCCTCCGTGTATCTTTCCTTCCCAACCAGACCCAACCACCTCACCTCACCCCCTATCTCCATCACTAGGTATATCACTCTCAGCTTCCCTCCCTGCACCCCTCACTGCGCCCCACCACCCATGTGCACCCCCGTGCCTGCAGGCTGGTACCCAACCCGCGCTACAGCACGTTTCTCATCCCCATCCTGCACATGGTGCTCGACCTCAGAGCGCAGCATGTCGCCGCCACGCCCAAGCTGCAGCAGGGGGTATGTAAGGGGGGGGGGGGTGGAGGGGGTAGGGTATGTGCTGAAGCAGCAGGGGGTACGTACACTGTATCCAGGAAGCTCTTCTCTCTGCCTGTGTTTGTCCTTGCTCGCTGCCACTCTCGCGTGCTGTGCAGTCTGCTGCTGCAGTTCGCCCTTGTGCCCACTGCACCTGTTGTTTTTCTGTTGTTTCCTTTTGTTGTTGCTTACTTCTCCTGTCTCTCATGCGACCCCCATCCACCTACTTCCTCGCCCTCCCTTCTCAGCTTCTTCTGTTGACTCTTCGCCACCCATTCCATCAACTCCCACCGGCGCCCCCCCCTTCCCCCCTTCCCAGTTCTACATGCTGGCACAGGTGCTTGGAGCGGAGGCGCATGCGCTGGCAGAGCTGGCGGAGCTGCAGGGCTTTGTGCTGCCGCTGCTGCGCGCCTCCACTGCTGCCAACGCCACCGCCGTGGCAGACGCCATCGCCGCTGCTGCCGTCCTCGAGGGTGGGGCCGTGGAGGATGACTTGACTCTCCTCTGATGTATGCCTTAGTTCAGGGGTCGGGGTTGGGCTGGGGATGGTAGTTGAGGGGGGAGGGGTTGAGGGTGTGGCGGAAGGGAGGGAGAGGGAATGGGAGATGGGGGGCAAGGGTGAAGAGTCTTGTCAAATGTAATTCTATGCTTGTAGGCTACAGTGAGTAGCATAATAGGGAGTACAGTTGTTAGGGTTGCATATTTGTACTCCCACACTCTCTAGTTTCATTCATTCCGTTGCATTCCTATTCTGAGATGGTATCACGAGTAGGTTAGATCCTCGTTCGTTCTTAGCTAGCCTCCGCGCCCTACGCGCCCTCCGTGCTCTCGCCCTCCGCGCCCTCCGCGCCCTCCTCGCGCCTAGCCCGCGCCCTCCCGCGCTGTCCAGCCTGTCGCGCGCCCTCCTTAGACCACCGCGCGCCCTCCCCCACCGTTGCGCGCCCTCCAAAACCGTCGCGCGCCCTCCTTAGACCGCCGCGCGCCCTCCCCCACCGTCGCGCGCCCTCCTCAACCGTCGCGCGCCCTCCTTAGACCGTCGCGTGCCCTCCCCTCCGTCTGTCGCGCGCCCTCCTCCGTCAACCTTCCCGCACACCTGCGTGCGCTTCCCGCACACCTGCGTGCACTTACCGCACACCTGCGTGCACTTACCGCACTCCTCCGTCAACCTTTCCACACACCTGCGTGCGCTTTTCGCACACCTGCGTGCGTTTCCCGCACACCTGCGTGCACTTCCCGCACACCTGCGTGCACTTACCGCTCTCCTCCGTCAACCTTCCCGCACACCTGCGTGCGCTTCCCGCACACCTGCGTGCGCTTACCGCATCCCTCTGTGCGCTTACTGCATCTCTCTCCCATTCACCTGTGCACCGGTCCCACGCCATTCCTACTGCACTTGGCTCCCGGCTCAGCGGCTGGCAGCCGCTCTTCCCTCCGGTAGCGCCACCTAGGTTCGGTTAGAGCCCCGCCCCACGACTATTTTCTCGCCGACTGTCTCTCGTCGGTTTCCCCGCTGGCGTCCCTAGCCCTCTGTAGTTTTCCTCCTCGTTCTTAGCTCCGCCTCCGCCGTGCTCCAGTCGCCTCTAGCATGGGCTCCGCTATGGAGGCCCGTCGCCTCCGTTTCGATGCTGAGGGACGCCCGATCGAGTTCGGTACCTGGCAGCGCCAGACCACACGTTTCCTCACCAGCCAGCGTCAGGCTGGCGCCACTCTGTGGGCCCACGCGTCGGGTGCTCTCGCGGCACCCCCGCCCCCCGCCGCCCTGCCGACCGCCCCGGAGCCGACTCCTACGGCCCAGGCGGACTACGACCGTCGGGTCCTGGCTCGGGACGTGTGGCTCTCTCGTGACGCGGCCGCCGCCCTCACGCTATCGGAGCTTCTCCCCCCGACTGAGGCCACTCACTTTGACCAGGTGGAGACAGCCAAGGGGGTTTGGGATGCTATTGTGACTCGCTATTCCACCCCCTCCTCCGCCTCCCTCAGTCGCCTCCTCATGCCGTTCGTGTTTCCCGACCTAGGCTCGTTTGCGACTGTTTCCGACCTAGTGACTCACCTCCGCTCGCTTGACGCCGGTTTTCGTTCGGCCTGTACCGACGCACAGCTCCTTGTTGCTCCCCCCCCCATGTGGCTCACTCTGCACTGGTTAGTCACCCGCCTCCCTGACCGCCTTGCCACTGCCCACGACGCGCTTCTTCAGAAGCACCCCACTGAACTCACTATAGACCTCCTTCAGACTGCTCTCGGGACCATCGAGAGCAGCCTCCTCACCGTTGCCTCCGCCACTGATGCGGTGGCCCCCCGTCTCTTTGCGGGGTGTGCCACCCCTCAGCTTCCCACTTTCACCGCTACCCGCGCTTCTGCTGCTGTGTCGGTCTCTGAGGACACCGCTGCCGTTTCTGCCGCAGACTGACAGAAACGGGGCAAGAGTGGCAGGAAGGGCGGGAAGGGGGGAGGTGGGGGCGGAGGAGGTGGCGGTGGAGAGGGCGGTGGAGGTGGGAGCGGCGGTGGTGGTGGAGGCGGCGGCGGCGGCGGCGGCGGTAATGCACCAGGAGGAGGGGGCCTTGGAGGAGGCGCAGGACAGACAGGTCCACCCACAGGTGGTGGCCCGACCGGTGGGGGTGTTGCCCCCCAGCAGCAGCAGCCACAGCAGCACCAGCCACAGCAGGGACAGCAGCAGCAGCAGGCACCACAGCAGTTCCAGCAGTGGGGGCCCTCGCTGCAGTGGGGTCCACAGCAGCACTGGGGTCCCCCGCCGCAGTGGGGTCCGGGAGGCCCGGGCCGCAGCAACAGCTCTTCCAGCTGGGCCCCTCGCCCCCCTCGCCGTGACGCTGGCCCCTGCACCCACTGGTGCCTCACCGGGCCGGGCAGCCCCTGTCTCTGTGGTCGCGACGACCACTCTGCCGCGCGGTGCTTCCGCCGCCTCGACGACCTCTACCGGGCTCGTTGGGGCCCTCTAGCGGTCACGCCTCGCTGGTCTCGTCTGTTAGCCCGTAAGATTGATGTCTTTGATCTGTCCATGGACGATGCGCGTCAGCATGCTTCGTATGTTGATGCTGAAGTTAGTGCTGAGGGATCTGTGTGCTCGCGTGTTCGTAGTTTAGCCTGCTTGCCTCCTGCTAGTGTAGCCTTGTGCCTGTCTAGCTTAGGTGCTTGTGTTGCTGCTCTAGGTGCTTGTGTAGCGACTGGGTCAGGTGACCCTCCGGCTGAGGCCTCTCTGTCGTTCACGCTGGACTCGGGCGCGTCTCAGTGCTTCTTCCGCGACCACACGACCCTTACGCCACTCCTCACTCCTGTGTCAGTGGCTCTGGCTGATCCTACCTCTGGACCAGCCGTTGCGCGTAGCTCCACCACCCTCTCGTGCCCTGTGGTCCCCTCTGGTGTCCTGCGCGGCCTCCACATCCCCTCGTTCACTCGGAACTTGGTGGGTGTTGGATACCTCCAGGACAGGGGGATCACGGTTACCTTCGTGGGGGGTGGGCGGACTGCAGTCTGTACAGACGCTACCACAGGTGCTGTTCTGGCCACGTTCACCAGGGAGCCCCGCTCCGGTCTCTACGTTCTCCACACCGAGCGCTCCCCGGTCGCGTCCTCCCCTCAGGTTGTTGCGTCCCCTCCGGCCTAGGTCCCCAGTCCAATTGCGTTGTCTAGCCAGGTAGTCGTGTCCGGTCCGGTCGCTGTGTCCAGTCCAGTCGCTGCGTCTTGCTCTTGTCGCTCTCTAGCCCACCGCACCGTCCTGTGGCACCACCGCCTTGGCCACCCGTCGATCCCTCGCCTGCGTGGCATGCTCAGTCAGGGACTTGTCACAGGTCTCCCACGCACCTTCCCGTTGCTCCCTGCCTCGCATGCCCCTCGCTCTCCGTGCGTCGCCGGTCGCTTACGCGCCACTCCCCACTCCTCCTCCCTTCGTCCGGCCACCGCTCCCTTCGAGACTCTCCACTTGGACGTCTGGGGCCCTGCCCCGACGCAGGGGTCTGGGAGGGAGAGTTACTTTCTGGTGGTCGTCGACGACTTCTCCAGGTACACCACAGTGTTCCCTCTTGCGAAGAAGTCCGAGGTGACTGCTACGCTGATCAGGTGGCTTCTAGCCACTGAGGGCACTCGTGGTCGTCGAGTTAGTTGTCTCCACTCCGACCGTGGGGGCGAGTTTCGCTCCGGCATTCTCGGCGGATTCTGCGGCGAACAGGGCATCACACAGTCCTGGACGCTACCAGAGTCCCCACAGCAGAATGGGGTTGCTGAGCGCCGCATAGGCCTGGTCATGGACATCGCCCGCACGTCCATGATCTATGCCCGTGCGCCCCATTTTCTGTGGCCCCACGCGGTTCGCTTCGCCGCACACCAGCTGAACCTCCAGCCGTGTGTCTCGCGGCCCGAGGCTTCACCGACCAGTCTTTGGACTGGTTCCCCTGGTGTTGGGTCGGCCTTTCGAGTCTGGGGCTGCCTTGCGCTTGTTCGCGACACCTCCGCGGACAAGCTCTCGGCACGCGCCGTCCCCTGTGTCTTCCTTGGTTTCCCAGTGGACTCTGCCGACTGGTCCTTTTACCACCCGACCCTCCACCAGTTCCTAGACTCCAGTGACGTCCGGTTTGACGAGTCGGTGTCCTACTACACCCGGTACCCCTGTCAAGGTCTCCCGGTACCCCCTCCCCCCCTTTTCCTAGCACCCTCTCCTCCTCCTGCTCCTGCTCCTCCGGTACCCCCCCCCCCCCCCCTGCTCCTGCCCCGTCTGGTGTGTCCCACGCTACCCCTCTACCCTCGGTCGCGCGTCAGGTAGCGTCTCCCTCCCCGCAGTCCTCCTCACAGTCCCCTCAGCAGCCTTCGGCACTTCCGCGACAGGTTCCTGTGGACTTGGTTGGTGTTGGAGCTGGAGGTGCAGCCGCTGGCGGTGCGCGGTCTGGGGGTGCTCGTCTGCGGGGTGCTGGAGCTGGAGGGGCTGGCGCAGGTGGCGCTAGCTCTGGGGGTGCTGGAGCTGGGGGTGCTAGAGTTGGAGGTGCTAGCACTGGAGGTGCTAGTTCTGGGGGTGCTGGAGTTGGGGGTCCCTACACTGGAGGTGTTGGTTCTGGAGGTGCTGAGTCTGAGGAGACTGGAGTTGGAGACCCTGGTTCTGCGGAGTCCACTCCGCCTCCCCACCGCCACGACACGCGTCTCCAGGCTGCCCGTCGGCATGAGCGTGAGGAGCAGGAGCGGCAGTTGTTCCCACCTGTGAGTGGCCTGCGGGCCCTTGGCCTTTCCTCCTCTCCTCCTGTCCGCTCCCAGTCCCCTCCTGTGTTTGTTCCTCCGTTGCCTCCTCCTGACGACCGTCCGGTGGTCTGGTCTTCTCCTCCTCCTCAGTCTCCTCCCCATTTTGTTCGTCGCGACTTGATCACCCGTTGTCCTCCGCGTGCTTGTCACTCGTCCCCTGTTACTGACCTCCACACTGCCCTCCTTTGTTCGTCTCGTCGTCGTTCTCCTTCTCCTGTATCCGATCTCCCGTCTCCTCCTCCGTCCTCTCTCACAGCCCTCCCCACTCCTATCTCTGACTACTACCGCGCTGTTCGTCCTGTTGCCGCACGTGTCCTCGCCACTCTTGTCACCGACTCTCGTTTCCCTCCGTCGTCTGCCTCGGCTCTCACTGCCGCTGTCGCTGGGTTTGCTGCCGCCAGCCGCCTTGACTACGCCACCCGTGTGGTGCCAGCTCCTCCCTCCCGTCCTCTGTCCGTCGGGGGTGGGTTTGCCCTTGGCTGTGACGTCCTAGAGGACAGAGAGTCTGAGCTGGAGTACTGGGCAGCCGCTTCTCCCTCTGTGTGTGCCATGCTGCTCTCCCCTGAGGGAGACCCCGACGCCCTTGACATACCGACTCCTCGCACTTACTGCGAGGCAGTGTCAGGGGCGTGGGCCTCTCAATGGAAAGCTGCTATGGACTCAGAGTTGGCGTCTTGGAGATCCACAGGCACCTACGTCGACGCAGTTCCCCTTCCCAGGGCGAACGTAGTCGATGGCATGTGGCTCTTCAAGGTGAAGCGGCCGCCTGGAGCACCGCCGGTGTTCAAGGCGCGCTACGTGGCTAGGGGCTTCAGTCAGCGTGAGGGAGTTGACTTCTTCCAGACCTTCGCCCCGACCCCGAAGATGACTTCTCTTCGGGTGCTACTCCACATAGCAGCGCAGCGAGACTACGAGCTGCACTCCCTCGACTTCTCCACTGCGTTCCTCCAGGGCCGACTGCACGAGGAGATCTGGCTGCGCCGTCCTCCTGGCTTCACTGACACCTTCCCACCTGGGACCCAGTGGAGCCTGAGGCGACCAGTCTACGGTCTCCGCCAGTCGCCCCGTGAGTGGCACGACACTCTTCGCACCACGCTTCGTGACCTTGGGTTCAGCCCGTCCTCCGCCGACCCGTCGCTGTTTGTTCGAGCGGGTTCTACTCCTTTGTTTATCCTTGTCTACATTGACGACTTGGTGTTTGCTACCGCAGACAGGGCAGCCCTGGCTCAGGTGAAGTCCGAACTGCAGAAGAGACACAAGTGCACTGACCTGGGTGAGCTGCAGCGCTACCTTGGCCTGCAGATCACCAGGGACAGAGCCGCTCGCACCATCACACTGACGCAGTCACATATGGTGCAGCAGGTCCTTCGGCGGTTCGACTTCCAGTTCTCCACCACACAGCCCACTCCTCTTGCTGTTGACCACCGACTCACTGGCCCCTTTCCTGACGAGCCCCTTGAGCCCAGTGGTCCCTACGCAGAGCTTGTGGGCTGCCTCATGTACCTGATGACTTGTACTCGGCCGGACCTCGCCTTTCCCCTCAGCACCCTCTCTCGCTTTGTTGCGACTGGGAGACACCGTCCTGTCCACTGGACAGCTGCTGTGAGGGTGGCGAAGTACCTGGCGACTACATCAGGCATGGGGCTTGTGCTTGGAGGGACTCAGCCAGTGGCGTTGACTGGTCACTGCGACTCTTCCTATGCTGACGACGTAGAGACTCAACGCTCGACTCAGGGTTACTGCTTCAGTCTGGGAGCTGGTGCTGTGTCGTGGAGGTCTACACGGTCGTCGTCTGTGGCTACTTCCAGTGCAGAGGCAGAGATCTACGCTGGTGCCATGGCGGCACAGGAGCTTCGCTGGTTGACCTTCTTGCTCGCCGACCTTGGTGAGCGGCCTCGCTCTGCACCGACCTTGTACGCCGACAACAAGGCCATGATCCTCCTGTGTCGAGAGCCTCGACTGGAGAGCAGAGTGAAGCATATTGACGTGAGGTACTTCCTCCTGCGAGAGCTGCAGCGACGCGGCCAGGCACGCCTGGACTTTGTGGCCTCAGAGGCCAACACTGCAGACGTCTTCACCAAGGCCTTGGCGCTTGGTGATCACCACAGGTTCTGTGTGCAGTTGGGGCTTGTTGAGGTAGGCCCTCGGTTGCTGTAGTCTTGTTGTTTGCTCTGCTTGTTGTACTTCCTATTTATATCCTAGTGAACTCTTGAACTGGCCTTGTGGCCGCTTGCTTGCGCTCGGAATTTGTGTGGTGTCCTTGAGATCCACCATGAGCTTGCCTTGTTTCTTGCTTTGACTGGTCTTGTGACCGTTTGTTCACCTTGCTTGCTTTGATGCCCCTCACTTAGCCTATGGGGGTGTGTCAAATGTAATTCTATGCTTGTAGGCTACAGTGAGTAGCACAATAGGGAGTACAGTTGTTAGGGTTGCATATTTGTACTCCCACACTCTCTAGTCTCATTCATTCCGTTGCATTCCTATTCTGAGAGTGGCAGACGCCATCGCCGCTGCTGCCGTCCTCGAGGGTGGGGCCGTGGAGGATGACTTGACTCTCCTCTGATGTATGCCTTAGTTCAGGGGTCGGGGTTGGGCTGGGGATGGTAGTTGAGGGGGGAGGGGTTGAGGGTGTGGTGGAAGGGAGGGAGAGGGAATGGGAGATGGGGGGCAAGGGTGAAGAGTCTTCAGCTCACAACGAACCTAAGTCTTCACTGAAGACTCTAATGATATTTGTAGTCCGTGTTGCAGTGGCAAAGTTTGTTTTATCTAATTGGGTTGGTCTATTGAGGTGAGACAATTCGCCCTATAATGGAAAAATCGACCTACAATTCTTAAACTGGGAGGCAGATGGAATCAGCACCCACATTTTACATTATTGGCCCTCTTGGATGCCCTTGTTTCTATCACACATCCAAGGCTTTGAATAGTTCAAACTTGTAAAACCGAAGCTTTGTTTCATCGCGAGCTCTGTTACGTACCTCCAGCCAGTTATTCTCAGGTGGTTTGCGCAAGATCCGGCACCTGGGCTTCAACGCGAGTCGCGACTTCCCTTCCTGCAAGTTACCATATTACCCCGGATATAAGCGCACCTGCGCTTATAATAAAACAAGATTTTTCATTGGGGTGCGCTTATAATTGAGTAAAAAATATAAGCGCATGCGCTTATAAAATAACAAATATAGAATTTTAAATTACTAGCACGAAAATGTTGTTCGCGTCATTGCGCACCCAATCGAGTCGATTTGAAACAGGGTTGTGGGTGAAAATCTCTCGCTACTTGGCAGGGAAAGATTCCCTGCCAGCACATACACTCAGAATGAGTCACTAGGCGCTTCTGACAGCACATGCTGACTGGACGCCAGGGCTGACGTTTCACTTTAGGGCTCCCTGATTCCGGTAAAAAAAATTCCTCTGTATTATGAGTGCACATTGTTCAGGAGATTGCTACCCTTATGGCTCAGGGTTCAACAACTAGTCACTCTGATTTGTCAGGGTCGACAGCCTCAATTCACGGTCTAGTTTCAAATCTCACTTGGTTGATTACTGCAATGTACGGCCTGTAAAACATTTCACCCTACATTGTCTACTCTAGTGCACAGGCCTATCGATGTGGAACACTTCCTCCACATCCTCATCGTCCGAAACGAAGGGGTTTTCCTCCTCCTTCTCCTCCCCCACAAGCTCCTGATCGTCGCCCAGCTCCTGTTCCACATCCTCCTCCTCCTCCTCCTCCTCCTCCTCCTCCTCCTCCTCTTCCTCCTCCTCCTCCCCGTCGTTTTGGTCGGCAGCTCCTGCTTCACCCTCCTTTGCTTTCCCCTTCCTTTCACGCTCAGCCACAGCAAGCTTCACGCTCTTTGCACGGCGCCTCCTCCTTATAGACCTCCACACCTCCAGGGCGTCCGGCCACTCGATGTCGTAATTCAGGAGCGAAATCTGCATCAGCTCCCCCAGCCGCGCGTTGCAGAGAGCGCCGCGCACCCAAGACTTGATCATATTTTGCCTGGAGAATCCTCTCTCGCACTCCACAGTTGACAGGGGGAGCACCGCGAGTGCCTGCCACAGGAGGACGAGGTTGGGCCACCTCCTGCCAGGTACATTCACGGAGACGGGAGGGAAACAGAGTTACGACATGCACAAAATACATTCGACTCCAGCTTGGCATCCCATGCTGTCACACTACACTGACATACCTCTTCGAGTCTGCGCTCCCGAGAATGTTGGCCAGTCCCTGCGTGAAGCTTTCCAGCTCGTGGTGCGCCTCCATGATCGCACAGAATGTGGGAAGCTCCCTCTCTGCGGCCTTGAGGTCGAATCCCGACAGCTTGTGGCGGAAGAGTTTGCTGCATCCCAGAAGCCACTCACGGCACTTCTTCTCCCGTTGAGCCTTGATCTTTGGCCACTTTCCGGCCCGAAACAGCTTCGTCGGCCCCAGCTTCCCCAGGTCATCAAGCCGCTCGTTGAGATTGTCCACGCAATCGCGGGCGAAACTGCGGCACAGCTTCACGCACTCCTCGTATCCGCTCCCCATCTTGTGCTCCGGGAGCTTCCGCTCGTGCATGGTGTACAGATGGTTGATTGGGCGTCCCTCCCCATCCACGCCTCTCACACGAACCTTCTTGCCTCCACCATGCCCGTGCAGCTTCAGAAAGCCGACCAGCCAGCACTTGCCCTTGCCACCGAACTACTTGTCGGTATCCAAAAACCGCTCCGTAAGATCCGCCGTGGTGGCCTCGATGGTCTTGGCAATCTCCGTCACATCAATCTGTAACGGCACAGTCATACAGGACATGTCAGGTTACATCCAACACACAAGAAAATGTAGACACTAGCAGAGGCGTATTCGCGGAAGAACGATACATCACGCCTCTGTTGAATAGAAGTAGTAGGGCCTAGGCTTAGTAGCCTAGGCCAAAGGGAGTCGAGAAAATAGTTGCAAGAAGAAGTGGTTGAACTAGCAAGCAGGTGGATACACATAGGAAACCCTAAGGGGCCGTACTCGCTATAGAGTACCCCACTGCAGGCTAGACAAACTACACATTCTGACACACCCCCATAGTCAAAGTGGGGTATGCTCAGCACAACAAGCAACAATTTATAGTTCACAAATATAAGCAAAGCTACAGGCTATCACAGAGGGCAAGTGAGGAGGAGGAGAGACTATGAGAGGAGAGGAGGTAGTGGGCGGCAGCTGAAGCTGCTGGCACACGGCGCAACTGGAGCAACTGGCACACGTGCAACTGGAGCAACTGGCACACTGGCAACTGGAGCAACTGGCACACGGGCAACTGGAGTAACTGGCTCCGCGGCTAGACGAGCGGCATGAGCAATTGACTCTCGGGCAACTGGAGCAACGGGCTCATGGGCGACAAGAGCGACGGGCTCACGGGCGACTGGCGCAACGGGCTCACGGGCGACTGGAGCTGCTAGCTTCACGGCGGCCACCCCCCTTCAACCTCCCCCTTTTGTCCCAAAACTCCTTTCACACACCCCCTGCTGAACCCCTGGCTCCACTCACACTCCACCCCCCAAGCACCACGCCGAAGGCTCCCACACATCCACCCCCCTCAGCAGCAGCTGTAGCAGTGGGAGACGGAGGAGGAGGGGGAGCCGGGGACGGGTCACACACCCATCATCCCCATACCCGCCACCCTCATACCCTCCGTTCCACGGCTGCACGCGCAGCAGAGAGACGAAGAAGGGGGGGGGGGGAGAGCAGGGGCAGCACAGACACGGGCAGCAATGGGTGGCAACGGGCAGCACAGGCACGGGCAGCAACGGGCGGCAACGGGCAGCACAGGCACAGCCAGCAACGGGCGGCAACGGGCAGCACAGGCACGGGCAGCAACGGGCCGCAACGGGCAGCACAGGCACGGGCAGCAACGGGCGGCAACGGGCAGCACAGGCACGGGCAGCAACGGGCAGCACAGGCACGGGCAGCAACGGGCGGCAACGGGCAGCACAGGCACGGGCAACAACGGTCGGCAACGGGCAGCACAGGCACGGGCAGCAACGGGCGGCAACGGGCAGCACAGAGGCGGCTGCACCGGGTCCAGGAGCGGCGTCGCATGCAGCTGCAGGGTCGGCGCCGCGGGGTCCAGGGGCGGCGTCGCGGGGTCCAGGGGCGGCTGCACCAGGGGCGGCTGCTCCAGGGGCCAGGGGCGGCTGCTCTGGGTCCAGGGGCGGCTGCTCCAGGGGCGGCTGCTCCAGGGGCCAGGGGCGGCTGCTCTGGGTCCAGGGGCGGCTGCTCCACGGGCGGTGTCGCTGGTGCAGGGCAGGCCCGCGCATGGCTGCAAAGCAGGCGCGGGCGCAGGTGAGGCAGAGGCGGCGGCCAGGGGGGGGGGGCGCCGCGACGAGCAGGGACGGCACCCAGGGGGCGCCGCGACGAGCAGGGGCAACGCCCCAGGAGCGCCGCGATGAGCAGGGGCGCCGCGACGAGCAGGGGCGACGCCGCGCGGGTCCCGCAGGGGCGTCGCGACGAGCAGGAGCGGCGACGCACGGGTCCCGCAGGGGCTTCGCGACGAGCAGGAGCGACGCCTCGCAGGGCGCCGCAACGGGCAGGGTACGGGCGGGCAGAACAGGCCCGCGCGCGGACGTGGGGCAGGCGCGCAGGCGGCGTGAAAACAGGCCGCGCGCGGGGCAGGAAGACGCCGCGCGCCCGGGGCGCACGGCGGGCAGAAAACCGCCGTGCGCCCCGAGCACACGGCGGGCAGAAAATCGCCGCGCGCCCGGGGCGCACGGCGAGGAAAATACGCCGCGCGCCCGAGGCGCGCGACAGGACGACAGGCAGCGGAAGCAGACTGGTGGGCCCGTTAAGGAAGGCAGCAGGAAGGTGCCTGCTCTGAATACCATGTTGAATAGAAGTAGTAGGGCCTAGGCTTAGTAGCCTAGGCCAAAGGGAGTCGAGAAAATAGTTGCAAGAAGAAGTGGTTGAACTAGCAAGCAGGTGGATACACATAGGAAACCCTAAGGGGCCGTACTCACTATAGAGTACCCCACTGCAGGCTAGACAAACTACACATTCTGATAGCCTCTGGAAATAGCGGTTGAGGTCGTTTATGTCGGCGAGGATGTCGGCGAGGATGTTGGCTAGGAAGAACAGGCAGGATTGGAAATTGTAGCACATGACGATCTCGTACACCTTGTGAATCCTCTCCCAGAGAAGAACGATACACGCACCGAGCACATTGCACAGCCGACGCACCGCATCTGCGCGTGATAGCCCACGAACCGTGTGGATCCCCTGGACTTCGAGGTTAGTGTTGTAGATCACACGCTGCAGGTACTTGAAGCGTTGGCTCCAGACAGATGAACTCCCAGTTTTGCCGCTAGGGTGTGCACCACCTTGTCCACCATGCCCAGGTCGGGGTTGGACGTCGCCGCGTCTTTCACAGCCAGCGCCTCCCTGCAACGCTCATCGTAAAAAATTGATGATTAGAGAACAATCGAGCAAAATGAACTGGATCATTAACTGGCAGTAAATCTTACTTGTGCGCGATGCAGTGACAAGAAAAGAGATGCGGAACGTGCTCCCGAATCCACGCCACCAATTCGTTGTCCTTCCCCGTCATGACCGAAGCCCCGTCCGTACTGATTCCGACAAGCTTGGACACGTCGACAGTTGCGGAGGGCAGATGATTCATGAGCACCTCGAACATGGAGGCATCATCACGCTGTCAGAATCTCAGTCACTAACCACTAGGACAAAAAGGCTTGTTTGTATAGCGGGTGAGTGCGCCCATAACCCCCCAGGCCAACGTGCCTGTAACCCTTCCCTAGGATCAATAGGGGATCACCAGTGGACCTCTAACACCCCCCCGCACTGGGATGCCCGAGGTGCACACACCGGGATTCCAACCCGAGACCTTCGCTCTGATACCATGTCAGAATCCCAGTCACTAACCACTGGGATAAAAGGGCTTGTTTGTATAGCGGGTGAGTGCGCCCATAACCCCCCAGGCCAACATGCCTGTAACCCTTCCCTAGGATCAATCGGGGATCACCAGTGGACCTCTGACACACACTTCTCGACAGTAAGAAGGGTGAAGAACTCGGTGACGACTCGGCGGTCCTCTAACTGCAGAATCATCTACGGTAGAATTTGGTGGATCAGGTGTTACTGGACCAGCGGAACCTCTAAGAAAAGCAAGCCCAGAGCGACGGGCATCAGAAGGTTTCTCCGGCAAAGTTGCCTCCGTGGCTTTCGGCGGTAACGGTGGCTCATCAGAGCCAGCCTGAGGCGAGTCTTCGTCATCCTGCTGGCCTTCCATGGCGAGGAGAAGCTAGAGACGGGAAGAGAGAGAAACGGAGAAATGAATTGAACAATGTAAACATAACAGCAGCACCAACAAGACCTTGGCTGTGGGAGGGGGGAAGCAAGAGATGGCGGGAGAAGGTGGGGTCAGCAAGAATCCACCGCGTCGCCTCCGACATTGATGGCGCGGTGGTCGAAACATCGAGCCGTCATTGTATTCGGCCCTTCATGCACGCCGAATACATTGAACGACTGCCTCCCTGCCACTATGTGTCTCCCGCCAATGAGGGACACGTATTGTGCTTTGCGCGGTGCGCGTGGCAGTAGATATGATGATTCTAGTTGCGCTGTCAAATTTGACAGCTGTGCTGTACATCGATGCTCTACAAAGGACAGTTGTGTTCTCTGTTGGTACTATGTCAGTTGTGCGCGCGAAAAGAATCCCCCACATGGTTACCTGTGAAATCATAATTACCCACATGGGGGGTATCGGAACGAAGCTTCTACGAAGCTTCGTCCCGATAACATCGCTTTTAGGGTCCACAGGTCGCGTACTCTGTATTGATAGGGTCCAGGAAAACACTAGACTGCGTGTCTATAGAGAATTTCAGGGTCCACTAAACCAATACTCTGAATGGATCAGGGACCAAAATGTGAAAAACCTGATTTCACAGGGACCAGCAAGTGAGAAGCCTGAAATCACCCTGAAATCAGGGTAATTATCCTGATAAAATCAGCCCTGCTGGACGCGCAGCCTGCAGGGTTTGAATGCGATGGAAATTTGATTTTCAATTCATCAGCTTGCTAAAGCGAGCTTCGTTACAGTAATTGGACAATTTTTCAAATTTAAAACTAACATGCGCTTATAGTAAATCATGTTATCTAAGGGGGTGCACTTATAATCGAGGATCGGCCATAAGTGCATTGCTCCAGATAGAAGCGCATGCGCTTTTAATAGGCCTGCGCTTATATCCGGGGTGATACGGTATTAGGCACCAGATAGTTTTCCAGTTTTCCATTGCGGCGTCGTGGTGTGGTCTAGTATTATGCTGCACTTTTCGAAAAGTTCCCATAAGGTTGATAACGGTAATCAAAGGGTACACTCATCACACATATTTCAAATCCCCTTATGAAGTTCAGCTCATTTTATTATGGTTTGCTATGGTTTTCATACCTTGTTCTGCAGCCAGTCTGCAGGTTTCAGTGCAGAAATGTCTGGAATATGGTTGCAAGTGAAATCACCAACCGCTCCTTAGGCAAATGCGCTGATTTTGATA